TATCAAAGAAAATGGTAAATTCAGAATCCTCACAAAAAGGTGGTATAGGTGCAATAGTTTGAAATTATTATAGTGGTATTTTTTATAAAGTTATGACTACTACTCACAAGTTGAATAGTTTTACTACTAGTATTATGCAGTCTTATTGGTGGTACCACGGATGGAATGGAATTTTTTTCATCCTGATGCTGAAAATTGTGCGTGTTGCACACCCCTCTAAATTATGACCCCTGTGCTCTCTAGTGTCACATAATGGGTCATTCCCGTTAGTCTAGATGGTCTACTTTTTGGAAGACAGACAGACAAAAAATAGACCATCTACTAGTCTCAATTTTTAGACTTTCTGTAAGACCCCCCCCAGCCTTACAGATTTCTAAATCTAGACCAGAATCCAAGAATGAAAATCTGTTGCATGACTCATTATTATCCAATAAAAATTCGTTGCGTGCGCGCTTTTCTAGTTTTAGTCATTTCTGTTGAGATTCCGGATTCCATTAAAGTAGAAGAGGAGGGCCTAAAGAACTGTCCGTTGGGACCCTGTTTTTAATGATTCCCGTTGAACTTAAAAGTCTAAACTAGACCATTTAGAATTTTAGACCATCTAGACTATCGGGAATGACCCAATTACGTGTTTACAATAAAGAGTGAGTTATTCCCTATCTACTCGGGATTGAGCCTCACACCATGTACTCACGCGCACTTGGTTACTGTGGTTACAAAAAACTAACACTAACAAAGACTACTGTAGTTATTTTTTGCTTAAGCAAATGCACCTCAACAAGTTACAACACGCGCAAGATCCCCTTTGGGGATATGCTCGGTCATAGTGTTAAGAAGAAGAGTGCTGTGTGTCATTCTTACATGATCAAAAGGGCAGGAGGGGGGATGAGCAGCTGGTGGTTCTCCATTAACACCACCAGTTTGTTGTATGCTGCTGGCCATATTTTGCCAGTTACCAAGACCGGCTAGTGGACAGAAAATAGGCCAGAGCTTTATCAAAAAACAATTCTAGACAACCCCCACACTAAGTGCTCAGTCCAATTGATACAAATATCAATGTCATTGGGAAGCTACTACTAGTAGTAGTAAAGGATGTTCTGGCAGCTTAGAACTGGTCTGCCAAAGTTACACTACTACTACTAGTACTAGTGGATGGCCAAAAATTTTGTGATAATTTTGGCTGTAATTTTATATTGAAATAACTGGTAGTACAGAATTCTTGATTTGTTTGATCCATTCAAGGGTCATTGAAAAGATCATTGTAGTAATACCACAGAAGTAATGGTACTGCCAGAGTGAAATGCTCCATTGTTGTTCATCAGGTTTTGCTCAGTCTAATAACTTACAAGCAGAGCGTGATTCCAGCTAAGTGGTTTAGCAGTTGTTGATGTCACTGAATGGTTGAAATTTTCACTTTCAATTGAAAATAACTCAGCAGTTTCAGCCAGCAGGTTCTATATCTACTTCTAGTACTACAAGTAAATCTAGACCAATTTTGTTGTTGACTTTGTGTCAACGCACAATTCACCCTTGACAGAAGATCGAGGTGTCCTCTTCTTGTTCTTCCTCTTCTTTTTTAAGCTAGTACTAAATGAAGATTGTGTGGATAATACTAGGATCTACTTAGGCCTAGTAGTCTACTACGCCATAAATGAAACATTCTGTACTTTAAATTAACAAGAATCAGAATGTTAAATCAAGAAACTTGACATTCCCAATGCCTCAATTAATGTAATTTCAATTGTTATTTTATGCATAATAGTAATTACCAAAAACTTCTTCGCGTGCATTCTTTACCTACAAACTTTCAGAGGGGGCACACCACCAAAAATCCAGTTGCTACTAGTTGTACTGTGTACTGTAGTACTGAACATGTTAGCATACGACATACGATGCATATGATAATCATGTTTGACTCAGACCTCGTTGTCTGAAAACGAAACAAGAAATGTACCGTACAATCGAAAGTCGCACGGAAGAAAAAAATCAGGGTTGAGGCGAGTATCGTTGCTTGTTGGGCACCATCGGAACCAAACACTACAGCAAGAGCAGAACGCAAACAACGCGACTCGATGAGACGTGAAGGAACCCTATCGTTTGGATACCCAATCGCATTTTGACACCGATCTCACCGTCCAAAGACAAAAGAAACGAAACCAAGAACAACACGCAGAACCAACACATCCACCAACACAGCCCCGCAAACACCGACCAGCCCCGCCATCGATCGATTCGATGGGCTCGAAACGTTCCGCGAAAGAATCAGAAACCACCGAATGCAAATGCGATAGCGACGGAGCACTGCAAAACCCCGAGAAGCGGTTGAGAGAAAAGGCGGTCCTGGATTGCGCCACCGAAGGGGATCTGTGTGGCCTAAAGGAGCAGCTGGCGTGGCTGCTACGGAGCAGCAGCCGCGGTTGTAGAAACAGCGGTTGTGGCACCGTAGGCACCAGCAGCAGCAGCACCGACCACCGCAGCGAGGAAACAACCGGAGAATGGTCACGTTCGAAGCAGCCGCGTTTGCGCCCTCACGCTCCAAAAACCGGCGCCCCGGAGCAGTCTTCGTTTCGTCTCTCTGCTCTGCGGGACCAAAGGGGTTCGACCCCTCTCCATTACGCGGCCGGAAACGGACACCTCGCCGTTTGCCGATATCTCTTGGAGACGGTCCGGGAAGAGGGGAGGGGAAAGCGACCGAGGCGTGAAGAAGAGGGTGAGCAGCAACGATGGCAAAGGCTCAGAGAAGAATCCACCAAACCATTTCCCGCCACATTTGAACCAGACCAAAACAACAACATCGACGACAGCAGCAACTACGACGACAGTTACGATGTTTCCAGCCCATCCGAGCGCTACTACTGCAGTGAATACGTCAATCTCCCGAACCGCGCACAGGGCCGGACCGCACTCCACTGGGCGGCCCGGAACGGGCACCTCGACGTCTGCGAGTTCCTGGTGCTCGAGGGAGGAGCGAACCCGAACGCCCTGGCCAAAGGCGGGGTCACCCCCCTCCAGCTGGCGGTCTGGATGGCGCACGTGGACGTGTGCCTGGCCCTGGAGCGCATGGCGGGTGGTCTGGCGGGAGCAACCGCGAAAAATACGCCGAGCAGCAACGCCAACGACGACAGCAACATCGTGTGCCACGGAAAACATTTCGTCAACTCGTGGGGCTGCTCGGTCCACCACTGGCTGGGAAAATCACCCGTGTACGAGCAGGAACAAGCGAAACAAAAGCAGCACCCGAATGCCGAAGCGGACCGCGACCACGTGGGCCGAACGGCAACCGATCGCTTGCTGGCGCTCTGCCACTGGCTCGACGACGAAGACGGCGGGGACGACCGCAGCAACGACCAAGCCGACCCCTGGAACCGACCCAACGACCACGGGCAGACGCCGCTGCACAAGGCGGGCTTTGGTGGAAACCTGCCGGTGGTCCGCTTCCTGCTCGACACCAAGGGCCTTGCGGACGACCAACGGGATTCACAGCACAACACGGCAGCGGACTGTGCCGAGCGCAACCAGCAGTGGGCCACGGCGAGGTACCTTCGGCGGCACGGAAACCCGGGGTGCCTCGCGCGGGCCAAGGCCCTTCTGTTGGGTCCGGAGGCCCCGGCGACTCCGGCTCTCTCGGAGGTCCGAGCGGCCTATCAGAGGCTCGCAAGGCTCCGCCATCCAGACCGCTGGAAAACGCACGGCGGGAACGACGCTGCCGGGGAACGCGACGGGAATCGATGCACGGACAACGCCGTGGAGCCACAAGAACACAGCGATGCCGAACGTTGTTCCAGAGAATGGGAATCCCTTCAGCAGGCGTATCGGCTCTGGACGCTGTGGTGGAAGGATCCGGAGGAAGCCGATGCCCTGATACGGAGCCTCGAGCGCCACGAGTACTTGCAGGCGCAACTCCCGCTGCTGATCCTGTGGCACGACGACTGGCACGCAGGCCGCCCACGGCAACAGAACCAAACAACGGATCGCCAGAAACAGCAACACAAGCTACCGAGCAACACCGATGGGAACCGCTCCGGGAGGAACCAAGAAAGCAGTCCTTCGCAATCTTCCCCCAAGCGTCAAAAAGTGCGACCGCGGTCCTTCTCGCCAGAGGCCCGCTCGAGGCTGGACGACTTTGAGCGGAGGCTGGCCCGGCTCCTGGCGACACTTCCCGAACGCAGGATTCCCCTGTCACAGCTCCCGAAGGAATACGAAAAAACCTGGGGCCGGCGGAACGGCGGGGACGGCCAGGAGTCCTCTCGCCACGCCATGATCCGACCGAGGGACTACCGGTGCAAAAAGCTCGGGTATCTCCTCGAGCGCCACTGTGCCCGGACCGTCGAGGTGGTGCACCTGCGGTCCTCGTCGTCCCCGGCAGCAGCTTCGTTGGCATCCACCGCTTCCGAAGCGGGAACGAAGGGAAGGATTGCGTGGGTGAGACTGAAAGATACCACGAGCTAGGGATAGGACTGCCGTACCAAAAAAGCTAGAAGAAGCGACAACGTTTCTAGGAAATTCAAAACGATGGGGAAGTCGAGAACTGGTGTCTAGTAGCAGTAGTAAATAATATCAGTATCAACAAAACTGCAACAAATCGGAGGATGAACAAACATGCTGGCATGGGTTCATCTTTTCTCATTCACAATAAGTGAAGGATGCAAGGATCAGAACGTTCTTTCTATTTTTACATATTTCTATTTTTACATAGTTGTGCGCGAAACCTCAAACTTTAACAAGATGCGCGGTACACAATCCACAGTAAATTGTGACGTACCGGACCACAAAGTACCAGCTACGTAACGCACATATGCTTTTCGTCCCAATACTTAAAATGAAACTTAAATTGACAAAAATAGTGTGACGCTTAATACCCAAAAAAATCTTCAACGGAAAACGTTTTGCTCCTAACTCGATAAGGTACGAACCTCGTACTCGTACTGGTACTGGTACTTGTACTATGTTTCCGAATCCTTCAAGAACTTGTTTTCGCCGCGCGCCAAGGGCATTCGTGTCAAGAGTTCAATAACAAATACAGTACTAGGCATCGTTCTGTTGATGTATTACGATATCGCACATCTCACATGTAAAGTTTGGACATGACAGATGAAAGCCTTTCGATGGATGCAGATACTGTGTTAGAGCGTCAGAATGACAATCGCCTCGAGGTCTTCGAGGACGGCTTGTCGGCGAACTGCGAAATTGTCGGGTTGCTCCAGTTTGGTCGTGGCAATCCGTCATCTGACGAGTATTTTTATAATCCGAGTCAAGAAGACATCGAGCACGTGGTATCCACCCTGTTGGCGATCGAACATCTCAATACGGCTAACACGAGCTTGGTGCCGGAACTGTCCGGTATACACGAATGCCCCATCACATTTTCGGCGGCCTTTGCAGAAGCGAGCATTATTCCCTCATACGCATTTGAAGTCGTTGATCGCCTGACGAGACCCGAGACAGATTCTTCTGCCAGGAATGCTGAACGACCTCTGCCGTGTGCCTTTCTTGGTGCCAAGAGCTCAACTATCAGCTCGGCCACTGCCATGGTTACGGGGATGAGGGGCTTTCCGCAAATATCTCCTTCCTCGACAAGCGTCTCGCTCAACAATAAGGTTGAGTATCCGCTCTTCGGAAGGACCATTCCCGACGATGGATTTATGGCCGAGGTGTTCCTTCAGTTCTTGCACGACACACTGGGAATACGACACTTCTTTGTGTTTTTTGATTCCGATTCATACCCTCGCTCCGTGTACGAAAGTCTTCGCCGGGCAATACTGGATCTGGGTTGGGGATCGCTGGGAGGGAGGGAAACTGAAGAGGAAAGCAAGGACACGATGTACTTGCAAAGCTATCTGCTCGAAAGAGATGCAGATGGGAGAGACGTCGAGAATATATTGGTCGACGCCATCGACGCCTTCAATCGCTCCGAGTTTCGGTATGCGTTCGTAATAACCGACGTAGACACCACAGACAGCCTGATGAAACTCGCCTACGACTCCGAATTAGCTGGATACGGAGACTACCAGTGGTTTTTCGCAGACACTTTTTCACTATCCAGCCGGAAATTCAAAAAAGATTCTGTTCTTGTTAAGGCGTACAACGGTGTGGGATCGATCAAGGCAAATGCCATCAGTGATATGGAAATACATGATGCATATGTCAAACAATTCCGAGATTCCAAGCGGGATCTCCATAAGAAATATGCCAAACTTGTCCGAGAAGCTGTCTCGCAGAAAGAAACCGATGACGACGATATCAATGTCTCCAATGCGACAATCGTATCAGAACCAGTGTATAAGATCATGGGTGGAACAGAGGACTCCTTGTTTTTGGACGATGTGCCGTTTCTCAACGAATCCGACTGGATTGGAGATGATATGAATTCCAAGTATACACCATTCACATACGATGCGACGATTCTACTGGGACTTAGCGCGTGCGCAGCCGTCAGAAGGATAGGCGATTCCCTGGTTCTAGAGGGAAACGAGTTTTTTGAAAAAATCAAACAAACAAGGTTTGCAGGTGTTACCGGAGACGTCGTGTTACGGGATTTGGATGGCACTCGGGAAGGCCATTCTGCCCATTATAGCATCACGAACTGGCGCGCATTTGACGGGGATGACGATGACATGGTATTCTTCAACGAAACCACAGCATACGCCTACCATCCCGGTGACGATCAGAATTGGGACGACGTTTCCGTCTTTGTATACCAGGGGGGGAACGTCTCGATCCCCCCAGACCTTCCCCCACCAGTAGTCTCGATTAATGAGGTCAACGCATGGATCCGTGTAGCGGTTTACGCTTTAGTAGCTACGGTTCTTGCAGCAACCGTCGGGTTCGCAATCTGGACCTATCGGCATCGCCAATGCCGGGTCGTAAAGGCATCTCAGCCGGTGAGTGGTCCGATCGTTGGTTCGACGCATCACAGCGTGGCGCAATATATCGCCGAGTCGCAATGTTTCTTCTTACACACCCTTGACACCGCTGCTCACTCCTTTCGATGGATATTACCAATTGCGTGGCCTTTTCTCCTTGCTCTCTGTAAATAAAACATTTGCAGTTCTTTTTACTTCTGCTTTGTGTCGGAGTTGCCCTTATGGGATGTTCCATGATCCCGTTGGTCGTGAAGGAAAACGAAGTGGAGGACCTCGATTTGAATTGCAATTCATTTGCATGGCTAGTAACGATGGGATTCGGAATCACCTTTTCCACCTTGTTTGCAAAGACGTATCGGATTAACACAATCGTACGCAACGCAAAGAAATGCCGGCGAGTAAAACTTACGGTTCGGGGCACGGTCTACCCCGTCGCCTTGATATGCGGATGTACGTTGTTTTCTCCATTGTCGTCTCGCCTTCTGCAGGGAGTAGCATCTTGGCTCTATACCCGCATGTCCTAATGGTAGCCTCTCAATGTTTCCTTTATTCTGTGTGTTTCTACCCTTTTTGTCTCATACGAAGTCAATGTTATGATGCTAGCACTCATGTCGGCGAACGTACCAATCACTCACGAGGAATTCAGCAGAAAACCCGATCGATTCGGCAGAGACACTGAAATGTAAGCCTTCGTCTATCATTTCATTGACTTGCTCTCATTTGGTCAGTCTTCGAATCAAATATGTGCATATTATTTATTGCTGCTAACGAACAAGGTTTCGTATTCTTTTTGCGGTTCCTTATGCGATGAGTAGATATAGTCGGTGCATGTTTGAAGACTCCCTGCCCTATATCGGTACGACTGCTGCCGTTAATCTTTGTGTGGTGTGTCTAGCCATGTATCAGGCATGGAGGGCGCGAGACTTATCCACCGAATTTGCCGAGAGTATGTACATCGCTGGCGCTTTGTTCGTAACACTTTCCGCAACGATCCTAGCAGTACCGCTGTTGCTTATTGTGAAGGAGAACCTCGATGCCCTTATATTCATAATATGTGCTTTGGTGTTCACCCTAACCACCAGCATCATGTGCTGCATATTCATTCCGAAGATAACCTTCCACCTAAAGGACAAACGATCCGGGCAATCAGCGTCGCGCACACGGTTCAGCTCTGTTTATTCCAGGGCTTCGTCGGTCTCGGCCAACTCAGCCGGCGAGGTGATTCTAACCTCAAAACCCCAAAAAGCATTGATATCCGAGATCAGTGACCTGAAGCGAAAGCTCGGCCGTGCCGAGAAGCGAGAGCGGATTCTCGACTTGCGGAACGCGCAACTCGAGAAACAGCTGAGTGGCTCCGGTATGCTCAATTCTAAAGAAGAAAGCGCGCTGACTTTTAGGACCGGTCCTGCTTTGTCGGGTGTTACCGGTAGCACCAAAAAATATGTTTCGTTCCAGGAAGATACCATAATCTCGAGTAGTAACACTAAGACGCCACGAGTGAGCGAGCTTTCGTTAGAAATGGAAAGGGAAGAGAAACAAGAACTACAAGTCAATGACGAATCGGATCACGCATCACATGGAGGTGACGAAGATCCGTTAAGCAATGGACTGGACAACAGCGCTGTATAGAGGGAGTGGCAACGCATCCTGTTTCTAGCGACAACTAGACTCAATAAGTGGTAGAATTGTCTGCGATTCAGGTCATGTGCTAGCACGCCGTGCTAGCACAATAGTTTTGCAATTAGTCACACTTACGAATGCAATACTGTGATTATATTACAGTACGATAATTCTCTAATTAGTTCGTATCCCGAGCTTAGGTGACTCGTCGACCTTGCGTCTCTCATTGCCCAATGTGTTGCCGTCGGAATATGTTGGGGTTTCTCCCCCACCTACTCCGGAGGTCTAGGGTCGGTCTAGAGACCACGGCCCCGATGTTGTAAATGTTGTGGGCCCGTTTGTCGGCAACGTCATACGGAATCGGAGATGCCACGGGTGGTGCCTCCACCGCCGGCGACGGAGCGGAGGTGGATGGTTCTTTTGTGCCCACCGAAGGCACCTCCACGGGCACCGGAGCTATCGTCTCCGGGGGGATCAGTGCGGTGGTGACCACCGTGGGGTTGGCGGTAGACGTGAATGGTTCCGCAATAATTGTGGGTACGCCCGCCGGTGGAGGTGTGGTTCGAACGGTTGTGGGGACCATCGATGGCAATGTGCTGGTTTCATTCCCGTTAGTGTCCGGCCCGCTTTCTGTGATTGTGGGTGTTGATGACGGCGTTGCCGATTGGATATTGTCGCTGATATCGTCGTCGCTTGTCACATTTTGATCGTTGTCGACAGGCGGAACCAGAGATTCGGATTCGTCCGAGGATGTGGTGGGCGCCAAGGTGGTAGTTGTCACGGGCATTGTAGTTGGTTTTGTTTCGTTGTTGTCAGATGCGGGAACCACAATACTTGCAAGATCGTCCTCCTCTTGTTGGAGATATCTCCAAGCTCTTGGTGGAACGAGCGTTGTTGTTCTCGTTGATGCGGTTGTATTCCAAGCTGTGCCAACATCTAGGTAGACCGATACTCTATGCATCGAATGGCTCATTTTGCCTCCCTTGTTTCGAATGCGAATGTAGGCTCCGCCACTTCCATCGAAGGGGTCCCATGGGGGACGTCCGAGAAACCGGAGTGCCGTAACTGCCACGAGGGTAGTAACAATTATTCTCAGTAAGAGCAGACCCATTGCTTCCTTTTTGCTCTCTCCCGAACGAGTCGAGTGGAGTCGAACCGAATCAGAAGGTTAGTAGCATTCGCCCTTAAATGCAGCTAATTTTTCTAGAGGCAAATACTCTTACGAAAGCAGAATTGTACTTTTTCCCAGGACATCATTCAAGCAGCATTGTGCGATATGCGTCGGTCGACTTGGTTCATCCATCGTCATCGCATTGTTTGAAGTTTCGCAGAATAATCTGCCATCTGTACCTGCAGGTGTAGAATCCTATTCGCTATTCGTGTTCCGGCAAACTAATCGAACCTTATGTGTCGAGGCCACAGTTTTGTGGAGGGCTATTGTATTTTTGACATAAGTTGAAACCGACGCTGAAAGAAAATATCTGAGCCTTAGATGGTGTGGAAAAAAATTTGGAGTTTTGTGAGCGACGGATAGACGCAAGACGACCTGTCTCGACCAATTGAACTCATCAAGCCTTGAGCTCATTCTTCAAAAGTGAGTGATGTGACAAGTAAATTCGACTACTTCCAATCCTTCCATGACTAGTTCCTACAAAAACTGACTACATAGAGGCACAATTTGTCGTTCCCACGCCAAGGCTCTCTGACACTTACACCGGGACGCACTCATAATATATTTCTCAATAGTAGTTGTCACATTTGATGTCAAATCCCAACATGGGCAAAGCATTAGAATGAACCAACAACAATTGGCTACTAGTCCTAGCATTGCACCACCCATATATAAGAAACATTAGGTTATGTAGAAAAAGAGCCTTGTAGTGTTCAACAATACCAAAACAGAGCACTACAGGAAGAAGAAACAGCTCGAAAAACGCAGGCTAAGAGCTGCTAGGAACAACTGCACTTTGAAATAAGTTTACAAATCTTCGCTCTTTTGTCTCGTATCATACGCAGTACTTGTCTATCGTAGTTATGATTATTTTATAAGAAAATTCAAATGAAGTTATGTTTATTACATGATAATTTCAGCAGCACAAAAACCAATGAGGTACCGATACGCTAGATTTCATTTATTGTGAAAAATTGGATTAGATTGGTTATATATCCACCAAAGCATCAGCACTAATTTTGCCGTTAGTTTTTCTTGCCCTTGTCCATGACCATCTTGCGGAATATTCCGAGATCGTCGGCCTGGTGCTGGCTAAAGCCGAGAATATCCCTCATGTAACGCTCGAGGTGCTCTTCCTCCACGTCCTTCATCACGTGTGCCGAGTTTCGAAAATGGAGGAGTGTTGGGTACGTCGATGTGGTCGCAGTTGTGTTTGTCGTCGTTGCATTCAAGAGCTGGGCGCTTCGTTCACGTATATCGCTCAGTTCGGGAAACGAGATCCAGTCCGGGTGTTTTTTCATCAAAACGATATCGCATTCGGGGCGAGGTCCTTTCTTCTTCTTCTTCTTCTTGTCTTTGTCATCCGTGGAAGCACCAATATGACTTTGAGAAGTGGAAGGTGTGCCACCGATGATGGCAGAGTGGTTGTGGTTCGAAGCAGCGCTGGCATTCTTGGAGTTTCGAGCTCGTTGTTCATCCAGCATGACAGTCAGCGAGAGCTGATCCTTGAGGTATCTTTCTCTGCGAGTGGCTTGCATCAACTCCCTCCATCGCTCCAGGCAGGGCTGGGACCGGTATCTATTCAGAACAATCTGTCCGCCCTGGATTTCTTGGCTGCCATTTCCCTCAAAGAAATGAATCTGGGCATTCGTACTTTGGTTGTATTCGCTAGAAGTGGTGTGGAGACCAAAATCATAAATCCCCTCGAGCCCCTTAAACAATGGCGAAATATTGTTTCCAAAAACAATGTCGACGTCTAGGTAATAGAAGAGCTCGACTGAGTCGAGGAGAGGTTCTTTCTTCGCGTATTGCAGTATGTACGTCTTGAAAATCTTCGAGTTCATGGATTTGGACTGCGTAAACCGTCCGTGTTTGGTTATCTTTGCAAATCTCTTTTCTTTTGGACGAAAGACAAGGAACTTATTCTCCATCGCATTCTGGTCGGAATCTTCTTTGGTGGTGACCATCATATCGGCATCAAGATTGTCACCTTCGCCTTTCATTGCTAGCGATGGGGAAAGTGTTGTTGGATTATTTTGCAGCCCATCCATTTCCTGTCCCCGTTCTTCACTAGGAATGACAGCAGCTTTCAAATCCGCGTACCGGTCGTAACTTGCATCGGTTATGAGAATAATCCATCCCTTGTACTTTCCAATGTTTCTGGCCGACCAAACGAATCGCTCGACCATCGACATGTTCTCTGCTTTTTGACCCATACTGATGAGGACAATAGCGCGTTTTTCGAAGTCCTTGTCAATATCGGTGGTATTACCGCTGATATGATTTTTTTCGCTCCGAGAATCAATTGTAGCGGTGTGGCGATTGCCACTCCCGCTCGTGCTTTTTGCCGTCGTGTTGTTCCAATCTGGTGGCTCGGTCAATCCATCCAGGGTGATAACTGAGATTTGCGGTCGTTCTTCTCCGTTGCTGTAGTCGGAATAGTAGCCATCGTCGACATTGCCAAGTTGTCGGGTATAAAACATACCAGCGTGGCGAAGAGAGACTAGAATTGAGGATAAAATGAATAGTGTCACCAGTCTCCTGGTGGTCATTGACGATCTCATCATTGTTGCTCTTGCTCCCACCATGGTGACTGTTTTCCGATGATGATTCGATACCATGCTTGTACAATATATAGAAGAATCTCTAATTGCTTCTTGCCGCTATTGTCTCAAAGTTGTCCGGGTCGAGGAAGTAGAAGTGCTTGTTAAATATTTCGGTTTTTGATATGAATTTATGAAGAAATCAATCAGTCATGAAAATCATCGGTCGAGCCTACTGGAAAGGATTAGAAGTAAAAAACAGAAAATAATTGTTAACGGTATTTTTGAAATGTCGCGGTGGGCTGACAGCCTTGCGAAATAACCTGCGAAATCTACGTATGCTCTCAAGTCTCATAATCGGTGTAGCGAGTCCCGCAATATCGTGAACTGACAACAGCGCGCGCGCGCGAAGAAACAAAATTGAATGGCTGTGAGCAGTCATACTCAGTAGCAGCTGTAAGAAGCAGCAACAAGAGGTGCGCCTTGGTCCCCAGCAAGCAGTAGCTCCCTAGGACCACTATTGCTACCAACAGCAGCTAATGAGACAGTAGTAATAGAATAAGAGCGATTAGCTATCAGGGGGGACTGGGGCCAGTCCTACTATTAATCGTCCGCCCCAGTCCTTTTCTTTCTCCGCTTCCAATGAGCCTAACCACGGCCGGGGGGGGGGACCGCTAACCCTCGCCCCTGTAAGTATGAAGACTTGTTCCAGAACCCGTCCGCTAATCCCTTTGGCCCCGATGGGGACACACGCAAGTCCGCATACGAGATGATCTACCGGAAGTTCAGGGGGACCGGCCCGGCGCCACCTCCAGCTGAACCCCTACTGGAGGAAGTACGTAACCTCTTCGAAGCCCAAGCAGTCGGGGGGATAGGCATATTTGTGAATGATGCCGATTCCGTCCCCCGCCTCCGGGTTATACATGGAATCAGAAAATACCCCGGAAGCCTCCTACATGCTTCACCTAATGCAGGCAAGACGTTCGGTTATTTAGACGACGTCATCTCCGGCCGCGGGGAATTGGTGCAGGTGACCACCAGCATGTTCTCCCTCACCAGAACCGTGCGTGTTTACTCCCGAACCCATCACCGGCTGTACTTGGAAGCTAACCCGGAAGTTAGCTTTGTAAACCCACTCAACAACACGGTCCCCAACACGGAAGAAATCAAGTGCCGTCACACGTTCTTCATACCGTTTGAACTAATGCCGTTAGTACTTGGCAAGAACCTGACGCCTCGGCAAGCCTTCATTATCATTCATCCTTGGCTTGTGGGAAAGGGACTTGCCACCAGTGCACGCCCCCTTTTGGATGCTTTACGAGTCGCAGGGACACACGTTATTAGTGATCGCAGTAATGCCGTGTGTGAGATTGCGGCTAACGAACCGGGACCACTCTTTTGTGCCGAAGCCAACCTTACAGTCTACATGGACCAAAAGGTTCTTTACAGGGATTTGCCTGGTTTAGTTCCCATCCCTTCCATGGTGGGCCCTGAAACCGCAGCATTAACAGCCGCCGTATCCACGTTAACTGATAATCAGCTAAAGGCCAACGAAGCTAATGAACGCCGACGAGCTGAGGAAGCTAAGCCGCCTTCCATGGAAGAGATCTTTGGGGAGCTCAACACTAAACGACTGATGAGCTTATGTTTAGTCGAAGCTTCCGAACACTTGCCTCCCATATACCACGGCTGGACTAAAAAGAAGAAGGGGGAGAAGCTCCATGCACTGTTCCAAAGCTATGTGGACCAGGCTGCACGGGAACTATCGGTACCGTCCCCTTTCATCCCCACGGCCACACTCAAGACCTTTCAGTCCTTCCGCTTCTATGGGATAGACGAATGCGAAATAGGGGATGGAATACTCCCCATGGCCTTTGCACCCCCAGGGGGTTCGCCCACCGCTCGCAAGCAAGAACTGGAGGAGGCTAAAGCAGCATTAGCTTATGATACCCTCCTATCTACGGTAGGCAACACCATTAGCCTTACAGACGCCCAGACCCTGGGGAAGGCCAAAGGATATGTCCCCGTGGAATGGACTGAGGCTATCCTCCAGATTGAAGGTTATCTCCCTGTACTAGCCACACTCACAGGTGTAGAACACCCCATAGTACGGGAGTATGTAGCGGGCTTAGAGCGGCTGAAGCGGATACAGCTGGGACTGAGATACGCCATAAAGGATGAGTGTGGGGACAAGCTGGCCCCCGGTATGATTGTGTACTATTTTCAGATACGGGTCAGGGGGTGGCTGGAAGAGCAATGGGAGAGCACCGTCCCTGTGGAGGTCCCCAGCTTTACACAGGAGTTCAGGACATTCAAGCTCACGAAAACGTTGAACTGGTTGCCGGTAGTATCAGATGTACCGGAGTTACACACACTTCGTAAGTCCTCCGGAACAAGCGGACACAGCAACCGGAGCACCAAAGGATCCGCAGGAAACAGCAACCGGAACAAAGGAGGGCAAACCAGTACAGTCCCCACGCAGTCTCCCCAACTTAGAGTGGAGAATCCGCAATACGACCCACGGATCTCCTCCGCTGGAGGAGAGCTGGGAGCCAAGATAAAAAGCTGGAAGATTTCGAAAGCTATCGGCAATATGAAGACCAAAGGCAAGGGACCTTGCCTGCGGAATGATGGCAAGGAAATGTGCCATTCCTGGCGGGCCAAGGGTTACTGCTACGACAGTTGCAAGCTCGGTTATGACCACAAGGAACCAACTGAAGAGGAAGCAGATCGCTTTTGGGATTGGTGCCAGGAGGCCTATAGCACACAATGAGGAGGGGGCAGGCAGCCCGCTCCAGCAGCTGCTGCTGTGCCATCTCCCCCCTTCCAGGTGTGTAGGAAGAGGAGGTTTGCTGCAGCCACTGCGAATAGCACCAGGGAAGCTGGTAGGATTCCTACGGAGGAATACCGACCCCATCTTCCACTATCGAAACCGGAGAAAACGGTCTCCTCGTCAGGGGAGGGTATACCCCTCCCCGTAGAACTAGGTAAGAAACTTACACGCGCAATTGAATCGTACCAAGCCCACACGAGGGAAGATGTTCGAGCGCCACCACAGGCCATCGTGACCCAGCCGGAGAGCCGCGACTCAACCGAGGAAGGGACAGGCCTACAGAGCCCATTAGACGCGGTAGTTGGTCGGGACCCAGCACCACAAGGAGGGGGGATCGCTATCTCCGGGCAGAGGGTCGAGTCCCCTCCCTACCACCACACTAAATGTACTCCTCCCCGCCTCGGGGAGCCAGCAGGCCCAGCACAGCCTGGTGGCAAGCCAAGGGAGGCTGAGAGACGCACCAAGCCAGACCGTCTCGATACGCATGTCCGTAGGGCAATTAGCGCCTACCACAGGGCATCCAGTTGGGGGGAGTTCATACGGTCTGTCCGCGGACGTGGGGACCTACACCCAGATGTAGGGAAGCTTCCCCATCCGGCAGCCGGTCTACTGAAGCAGTTTCAAGAAGAAGGAACACCGGCAGCGATGAGAGCCCCAGACTGGGACAAGGCCCGGATAGAGGGAGCCTTAGCCCGGGGACCTCATAAATCCTCTCACAATGGGATCGAGTTCCTCCGGGAGGAATATGCGGACATGATGGACAAACAACAGTGGACTGTGTTGCCAGCTCGCATCGTAGCCAGGGTCCCAGGGCTCCGTCTCAGCCCCTTAGGTCTAGTCCCCCAAAGGGGGAGGAGGGACCGGATGATCTCGGATTACAGCTACTTCGGGGTAAATCGAGACACCGTCCCCCTAGCACCGGAAGAGGCAATGCAATTTGGGAGGACATTGAAATGACTGCTGTACAGGATTCACCGTGCTAACGATCACTTCGGCCCCGTCTACATGTCCAAGATTGACCTTTCAGATGGTTTCTACAGACTGTGGGTAAAGCCAGAAGACACCATAGGCCTGGCTGTACTCTTTCCCACACGTGAAGGGGAGGAGAAGCTGGTAGGGATCCCACTCACAAACCCCATGGGATGGCGGTCGTCTCCCCCGAACTTTAGTGCTTGCACTGAAACCGTCGCCGACCTGGCAAATAACTTGCTAGTACAGAAAGGGGGCCTCGCGAGCATGCGGGGGCTTCCTCACCGCCTAGACCAGGCCTTGGAAGCAGTCCCAGAGGACCAGGAGAGTACCAGCAGACCTAGCCTCACGGACCACCTACCCAAGCAGGCGGTGACCACGGCAACACCTCAAAGGCGCCCACTTCAGTACTGGGACATATATGTAGACGACTTCTGCGGGCTGGTGCAAGGCAACAAGTGGACCCGGAGAGCCGTAAAGAGGGCCCTACTACACTCGCTGGACCGAGTGTTTTGCCCCCTTGATGCTGCCGACACACCCTACCGTCAGGAGCCAGCCTCCCTTAAAAAGCTGAAGAAAGGGGATGCCACTTGGTCCACGTCCAAGGTCATCCTGGGATGGACACTCAACACAGTGGATAAGACCATCACCCTTCCCCCACATCGAGTCGCTCGGCTGCACGAGATACTCGCTTCCATTCGGCCCGGCCAGAAGTATGCACCAATACGGGACTGGCATAAGCTGTTAGGGGAGCTGCGATCTATGGCCATTGCCCTTCCAGGTTCACTAGGCCTGTTCTCCATTCTGCAGGAAGCACTGCGGCACCAGGAGACGAACCGGAACAGGCTGCGGCTAACGGGAGCCGTACACGGGTGCCTAGCTGATTTCAAGTGGCTGGCTAGTGACATAGCCACCAGGCCCACCAGAATAGCTGAACTAGTCCCCGATGTATGGCCTTCCACCATGGGAGCATGTGATGCAGCTGGAGACGGGATGGGAGGGATCCATTTTGTCCCATTACCAGGGGGAGAGATCCAACCACTGCTCTGGAGAGCTCGTTTCCCAGCATGGATCCGCCGGGACCTAGTTTCCTTCTCCAATCCTGCGGGAACCGTCACCAACAGTGAGCTGGAGCTAGCTGGCTCCATCTCACATATAGACGTGTTGTCCCAAACAGTCGAAGTAGCGGAAAGAACGGTCCACAACTGTTATGACAACACAGCCACGGTACACTGGCAACGCAAAGGAGCTGCCACCACGACAGGCCCAGTAGCTTTCTTACTCCGCCTCCAAGCACTGCACCAAAGGACCTTTCGCTATGTCCCCCTCCACGACTACATTCCAGGCCCAGCCAACACAATGGCTGATACACTATCCCGAGCATGGAATCTGACAGACTCACAGCTCCTTGCTCACTTTGATCGTGTTTACCCACAGAACTTGCCCTGGAGAGAATGCCAGCTTCGCAAGCCCATGCATTCTATGCTGATCTCCGCACTGTCCAAGAGGAGATGCGATCCAGTGTTACTGAAGGGTATTCCAAAAAGAAGGATGCCCATTGGCAATGCTGGTTTAACTTCTGTGTTTCACAGAAGCTTGACCCTTTCCTCAGGGGGTCCGACGACCCGGTCCCCTACCTCCAGGTGTTTGGGGCCGGATACCACGATGGAAGAGCCTCCCCCAGTCGTAAACGTTCACGGGCTCATACAGTATCGGACGCCATCAGGTCAGTGGGACAGAAGATCACCAGGCTGGGGGCCCCAGACCCCAGACTTAACCGGTTTGGAAGCCTGGACTACAGACTAAGCTCTCAATTTAGAGCCTATCGAAACCAAGATACTCCTCCTTCCCGGGTAAAACCGGTCCCCATCACACTTGTTATCCATGCACTTAACTTTGCTTACAACCAACAGCCCACGCCGGAACGCCAGGCCGTAGCAAACATGATTTGCGTAGCCTTCTACTTCTGTCTACGGCCGGGTGAATACACCGGCACCACCAGCGATGATCAAGCTTTCTCCCTCAACGATGTGACCTTCTTCATTGGTCCTAGGCGTCTCAACACCGAGCTTGCATCAGATGCGGAAATCCTTGCCGCGACATCCATCCACCTCACCTTCACCACGCAGAAAAACGGCACCAAAGGAGATGTAATCGCTCACTCTAGAAGCGGTGATCCTCTTTGCTGTCCCGTTACGGCCGTAATCCGGCAATTTTTACTCCACCGTCTACACACGCAATACTACGATGGGACCCTCAAATTGGCAAGCTACTACAACAGCAACAACGTTAATGTACGCGTCACGGCCTCCATGGTGACGTCGACCATGCGATGGCATGCGGCCATTTTACAGCCAACCACAGGGTTATCCCCGAGATCTCTCAGCGCCCGCTCCCTGAGAGCCGGGGGGGCAATGGCCTTACTCCAAGGCAAATGCGATTCCAACGTCATTAAGCTGCTCGCCCGATGGCACAGTGATGCCATGATGAGGTACCTCCATCAACAATCCATCCCCCTTTTTGACCGGCTGGCAGCCTTAATGTTTAATAATGGAGCCTACAGTTTCCTCCTGGAGGACACGGTGCCATCTACTCCTCCCACGTGAACCGCCTCGCTCCTCTCTCCGCCGTCGTCTTGCCATCCCGTGCCCCGGACCACTGCCACGCCGCCCTTCCGCCTCCGTCCTTCGCCTCCAGTGACCCTCCCGCGCTCTGCTCCCTCCCGGTGGCCTCTTTGGGCCCTTTGGCAGCTAGTAGTAACAGTATGCGCTGGCCGGTGGGTTGGATACTAAGCAGGCTCAAGGAGCCAAGGAGTCCCCCACGCTCCACGCCCGTGGAACCCTAACCCTAATGGGTGGGG